ATATATATATATATATGTGATGGTTCTTGATTGTAAGGATGTTTACTCTGAGCCTGATGAAGGGAACCCTCCGCGGCCCCCCATGACACTTTGAGTAATGACCGACATCAAATAAATGGATTTGCACTGACATCTTAGTCTCTGTCGTGCTGGTGACGTTCCTATACTTGATTATGCTGAACGCGGCGCCATCCGCGGTCATTGCGAGCACCCTCAACATACGTTTGGGATTTCCGGTAAGGGGTGCTACAGGTCTTTTCCACTTTTGGGTCGCGACCCACAGGTTGAGAACCGCTGAACTAGAGGAAGCATGTGCACTGGACGGGCATGGCCAGAAGGGTCTGTCCATTGGCCTCAGTAACTAGTAAGGAGAGGGTAAATTTGACTAGATATTAACTACACAAGTAATTGGCATGGGTGGTAATGTGGACAGGGTTTGGGAAAACATTGAACTAAACATGTCTGTGAAGGTTCTCATTCATCCAGGTCATGGTATATCTGTAAAAAATAAATGAATCAAGGCAACTGGACTTGCTGTATTTTTCTTAAAGACGTTTCACCGGTCGTCCAACCAGCTTTCAGAATTGAGAACGTCTTCAAGAAAAATACAGCAAGTCCAGTTGCCTTGATTCATTTATTTTTTTTACAGATATTGAACTAAACAATCTTTCCAAATATTGTGAGAAAGGTGACCACAATATTTTCAGCACATTTACTGTTCATACACATAGCTTAGCTTTTAAGCCCGGCCCACCCCTGGGTGTTTTGTAGCGCGTTCCTAAGCTCTGCAAAACGCTCAAACACCGAAATCACATTATTTCCTATGGGTATGGTTCACACCTGAGCGTATTACAGGCCGTATGAACGCGCTACAAAACGCTCAAAGTACAGGAGCTTCTTTGGGGCGTTTGTCGCGCGTTTCCATTGGGATACAGCCAAGTAGCACTCGGAAACGCGCTTTTTTTTACTGCGAATCGCACGACACACGCGCATATTCGATACGCCTAGGTGTGACCCCAGCCTTGGAGTTTTGTTAAGAGGCCAAGCAATAACCTCTCCGATACCTCTGAAGGTAGATCAGAATTCAGTGCTCACCTCTTTTGGTCTGGCTGCTCTTGTTTGTTTCCCCATCCTGTTCCGTCTTTGGGCACTATTAATATATTTCGGTTGTTTCCTTTGTTCTCGGATTTCAAGCTTGGCAGGTTCGCAGGAGGTGGCATGCGCCGGGCAGCGGCAACTTTCCCAAGACTCTGTAAGCCATGTCTAGGTATAACTGGAAAAGAATAAAAAAGACACAGGAAACCATAAGCTAGGACACATTTCATAAAGAACACACAAATCTGTTACCGTATTCCATTTATACCTCAAAAGTTTTCCAGGAAAGAGAAACTTTGTAGAGGAGGCTGTTCAGCGATTTACAGTCCACAGCTTATTAGGGAAAGCCTGAACACTCTGAAATCAGCAGAGCAGGAACCAACTGGCCATTTGATCAACGCTGTAAATAGCTGGCATTATCCAAAAGTAACAGATCAGTCAGCCCAGTCTAGGAGAAGGTAGGCTCCAACTTGGCTTGAGATTTTTACAATTCTGCCGGGGGGTAAAAACTACACTTTTGACCATCCTTTCCTGTAAATAGTTTGGAATATATACATATGTGGCAGCTAGAAATATTTGCTCATTACATATTCAGGTTCTGCTTCCTGCTCTGCAAGGCTACGCAGAGATGTAGTTAAGGCCAAGACATAGCCCATTGGCTATTATCAATGTGTTATTTTAGGCTATTACTCTAAAGGTTCACAAGGGGAAAGCTATAGCATAATGAAGGTGTCACTGGCTCACCAGGCCCTGTACATTTTGGACAGGTTAAAGTGACATTAAACCCTCAGATTTTTTAACATAAAATAGTGTAATGTGCGCCTTACTGTAATCCATGGTTGTTTCCCTTCTCTTTGCTGCTCTTCCTTTTAAATCTGTATCTGTTCTCATGCACTGCAGAACTTCTGTTTTGCAGCAGACTGCCTTGTCTCAGGAATGGATACACGGTGTCTGTGTATACGTTTGTATAGGCTTGCAACCCGAGCCAGCACTACAGGAAGAGGCCCTGAGCTGAAAAGGGAAGTTCTCCCCAAGCATGAGAAGACATGAGGATTTAAAAAGGAAGAGCAGCAAAGAGAAGGGAATCAACCATGGATTACAGTAAGGCACACATTACAGTATTGTTTTATGTTACAAAATCTGAGGGTTTAATGTCACTTTAAGCATTTTCCTACTTTATAAAAATGCATGTTTAAACCAATGTGTTGCAGTGCACCATTAAAAGGAGAACTATGGGGTAAGTGTTTTTCTCCACAGTTCTCCTAAGGGTCACGGGGGGACATAATCAAGCTACAGCCGGAGTCGCCGCAGCCACGACGGATCCCGACATTACTGTTGAGATTCACCCAGCTGTGTGATTGACAGCTGGCTCTCCTATCTAGAGGCAGGGGGGAAATCCCTGTAGGGAGCCGTGAGTGACAGTCACGGCTCTCGGCAGGGACATGATAGAGAAGTGAGTGAGCAACGGTATGCGTTCGTTCACTTCCCTATCTATTGAGCCAATGAAACGGTCACACGTCGGCTCGAACTATGAGTTTGAGTGAAAAATCACTCGCCTCATAGTTCTCCTTTAAGAAAAAAAGAAGTCCTGCTTTCCCAATTTTGAATGCACGAACCTAAGTTTTGCCATTCAAATCAACAAAAGCAATAACAGAATACATGTCAATGCAGTTCATGGTGTCTCAACATGCCTCAACACATGAATTTCTTGTGCGAACCCATCCTTAGAGGATTCTTCAAAGGGAAAAGAATCTGTCCACGGCCAATTTATTGCATATGTGCGTGGGGCACCATCCCCAATGCAATTAGCTATCAGCAAAGACCCAGCAGTAAACTAAATCCACTAGTCAAATCTAAAGAAATCCTGAGAGAATTTCTGCTTTAGGGGAAGCACAGTCCACCCAAGTCAACTTTTGGGAAAAAAACCTTTCCACATGGCTGCAAGGAACTTAACTAATCGATTTTGAAAATAATCGTTAGCTGCAGCTCTAAGTATTTGTTTTATTTATTTATTACAGGTATGTTATAGCGCTGACATTTTACGCAGCACTTTACATAGTTGCACATTCACTTCAGTCCCTACCCTCAAGGGGCTTACAATCTAAGGTCCCTATCTCACATGCATACATTAGAGGGCCAATTTTTTCTTTTAGAGACGAGCCAATTAGCCAACCAGCATGTCTTTGGCATGTGGGAGGAAACCGGAGCACTCGGAGGAAACCTTTAATGCCCTGCCATAAAAGATACGGTACAATTTGGAAGCACCAATAAAAAGGAAATACCTGTTGTTCTGACTGCTTCTATTGACTTCCCTTTATACTTGTCAAACAGGTTGAGAGACGAGTACTTGCTTTTCCCATCCTTTCCCTTGGATAACTGCCCCAAACGATCGGACATTGCGATGAAATGTCATCTAGTAGGGAAATTTTTTGCGGCGCCTCTCCCGATCTGCCTGTATGGATATGAAAAAGCATAAAACGTTAGTCCCTGACATGAGAGCGAAGACGTATGAATGATAAAAGATATGCTACATTCCAGGTACCTCAATAAAATGACTCTGCAGCAGATCCTTCCACATTAAGTATAGTAAAATTAACATTGTAAGATAGCTAAGCAATTTAAAGTGAACATAATTAAAAAATACATGAGGGGGTTTGACCTGCAATGGAAACCTACGGCCTATATCAGTAGTGTTCACGAATCAGTCCTTTAGTGCGATGGCCTGCATTACTGGCCAAAAGGAAATCTCAAAAAGGTGGAAAGGTTGGGGTCCAGACTTATCAAAAAAAATAGGGGGAAGAAAAAAAAAAACACTTAAATCACTTGAGGATTTTGAACAAAAGATACTTCCTAAAATATAATTCAGTTTTTTGGATGCATTTATTTTCAGCTCCTATCCCCCAGTCACGGCAACCCCACCATTATTACAGTCAATTACAGGCTGTCAAAATGACAGCCGATACTTGCTATGTATTGCACAGCATGAGTGGCTGTCAAAATGCATCCTACTGTGTAAAATGAAACTTGCAGATCTTTATACCGCCACAAAAGTCACATGTCCAAAATAGCAAGCCTTTGAAAGAAGAGGTATAAGGGCTAGTTCACAGCAGAATTATGCGTGGCTGCGCAACTGCAGTGCAATGTGTTTTTTATTTTTGCTTAAAATGGGATTTCAGGTGCGTTCGTGAGTTTTAAAGCGTTTGATGTGTTCCGTTGCGATCTGATGCAACTAAAATAGGAAAGCAGTACTTTATCTGCATGCAGAATTTTTGCAGATCGTACAGGACCCCAAAGGAGGCACTAAAGTGCCACGTGTTTGGGTGCCGGCAATCGCACTGCGGGCAGGGGGCGTGGCTGCGGTGCCATTGACTTAAACGTGCCGCAACACCACCTCCTGTCCCTGAATGCAGGGAGCCGGACGGTTTGCATTCCAGAGGCCGAATGCTCTGGAACGCATTCTTTGTGGTGTGAACTGGCCCTCATAGTTGCCACTGGCCAGTGTGTGGAAATGCTCCCACTTCCCCCACCACACACACAGTGGTACCTCACACCGTTTCATATGACCTAAAATTCCAGCCACGTAACTTTTGCACACATCACGCTTCAGTTCTCAGCAGAATGTACTGAAACACACAAATATCCCAGGAATGACAAACAGTTGGCCTTCTTAAAACAGCTGCTGCTCCTAGAAACATTTCAGGCATGGATTTCCTTTCTATACAACCAAAATGGTAAATCCATGGGTGGTTGTAGAGTCAGCTCAGTATTTGAAGAAAGCCCCACTATATTTAAATGGCTGACCTACTGGTTCAATGCAAATGCTTCAATAACCGTCATCTCAAGAGCAATAAAAAGAACAGAAGGCCCTAACTTGAATACCACAGCTCCATGTGAAGACACCAAGGCTGATTTATCCATAATTAGAAATAGAAGTATGTGTGTTGCCTAAAGCAACTATATTAGGCTCTACAAATGCAGTCAGGGCCTGATGCCCCGCTTCACTATTCAATGAGGCGCTGATCTGGAACAAACATGCTGCCAGTGAAGCTACTTGTTCTAGGTGAAAAGTCAGACCTCAGTGCTCAGGTAAAGTCGTGGACCCTGCATCTTTAAAAGAGAAATTCCACTTTCCCAGGTGAATTTGGAATAATGGAATTACCCCCTCCAATCTGGCCCCTCTGGGTGGGAAAGAAGCAGAACGCTTCTATCCCACCCACCGGTCCACTATCTGTACTCCCTACTGCGTGTAGCACAGCCCTGCAATCTGTATTTTGAATTTCCCTTGCAAATGGCAAGCACTCATTGGTCAGCGCAGTCACCTGGCAGAGTGCAGGGCTGCGCTACGCGGCAGTAAAGAGTATGGATAGTACCCTGGCACTGCTGGAGGGGAAGGAGTGTACGCCCAAAAGGCCAGTAGGGGGCAGAGGAGAGGAGGGCCGGACTAGAGGGGGTAATTTCATTTTCCCCAAATTCACCTGGGAGTGGAATTACCCTTTAAACAAGGCAACCATTGCAGAACCCCTATTTCCAACAAATAAAAGGTGAGGGCTTATACAGACTTTGATGAAAGTTGCAAATGCAAAAGGTTTGAAGATTACATTAACATGTTAAAGTTTATATACAGCATCAGTAACTGGATTTACATCTTCTTTGAAATACAGTTCCACCTTGCCCATTCAGGAAAAAGTGACAGTGCCCCCTGGTAGCTTACCCCATCCACCTTGCAAGGTGTACTCCCCAATCTGCCCCTCCTCACAAGCTCCCAGATCCATTGGAGCACTTACTCCACTGTTCTGAGAGGGGCTTCCTGATATGGGGGAGCACGGGACCACAATGTAACAGTGCTTGAGTCACCACACCTCCTGGTGGGCAACCAGGAGGCACAGTCTTAAATCCAAAAATGACAAGATCTCACATACTGACTAGGAGAGCGAATACACAGGTGGGGTTTTTTTTTTCTTTTTTATAATAAAAAAACAAAAAAGCCCCTCTAACTTTTTAAATCAAGGGCAAGAAATGCCAAGCCAGCAGAAATATTTCAGCAAATCGGGTAATACCTTGTAGGTATCAGTTTAGTGACATCTGACCCCACAAACCATGGTAATAGAAGTCATGTAGATTGCTCATCCTCAGGGCAGAGCATTTATAGCCCTCAAAAGTAATCTTGGAAATAGACAAACTGATTAACTGTCTGAATATGTCAGGTTTCCCCATTCCACAGTGACCTGGAAGTCTGAAACACGTCAATAAGCAATACTGCTGAGCAGCTGGTCTAATAAATATACTCGCTGTGTTGCCCCCAGACCGTATAATGGAGGTTAGCTGCAGCAGGCTGTTGGATGAGCCAACTGGTTTTAAAATCAGGCAAGTCATTTTTATTGTCCTAAATTCCATGCATAAAGTTCTTTCTACAGGGAAAGATCAGAAATGAGGATAGCCTGGATCCTGTGTGATCTTTTAACAGCTAAACATGAAAAGGTTCAGAACAAAGATAACATGGTTTTTCACTAACTTTGTATGTGGTTCCAACATGTGGTACAACCACACAATCCCCCCAGCCCTCCAATGCCTGATAGATTTAGAGCAAGGGTAGACAGCTGGAGCTCCAGCAAGGGTGGGACTACAGATCCCATGAGGCACTGCAAGAATGACAGCCATAGGCATGATGTGAATGTGATTTGTAGAGTCACCGCAAGGCCGCAGTTTGCCATAACCCTGATTTAGAGCATACAGGACTGACAGTTACAATAGCATGGTGATGGATGACCAGCATTGCTGCAGACAGCTGGAAACAGCTCACTGTGCATTCATTTCACCCGTCCTTCCAACCAAAAAGGGACACTATTGAACTATTATGTCTAATGACTTAAGGGAGGAATATGAGGGGAGTGAAAATCACTCATCCTCATAGTTCGAGCCGACGTGTGACAATTAAACTGTCACATGTCGGCTCAATAGATGGGGAAGTGAGCGAACACATACCGTCGCTCGCTCACTTCTCGATCATCTCCCTGCAGAGAGCGGTGACTCCCCCCAGGGATCCCCCCCCCTCACCTCTCCAATCCTCTAGCGATGACTGCAGGAATGGACGGGGGAGGGGGCTGGCACAGCTGACTCTGCCTCTAGATAGGCAGAGCCAGCTGTCAATCACGCAGCTTGATGGATCTTGACAGTAATGTTAGGATCCATCCCGGCTGCGGCGGGCTCAGTATACCGCAAGCTATAGCCCGCTATATACTGAGCTTTGGGTCACGGGAGAACACTAGTATATGTCCTCCCGTGACCCTTAGGAGAACACACTTACCCCCATAGTTCTCTTGCAATAGAACACTGAACAGGCTCATCCCAGAAACCAAGCCATCCAGCCACTCCATGTGCGACGAGACATTAACCCCAATTCAAATGTTATGCTGAGCCGAATTGGAACACATCAATGCTGCTCTTTACTGTAAAGAAAAGCGCAGAGTGCACCAACACATCTGAGACCTGGCCTGAATCTCAACCGCGACAAATATAAAATCACGATCCATTACAATACAGCTGCATACACCAGAATCCTACTGGATATACCCTGGTGACTAGGCAAGATCAGAATTCAGACAGGACAACCTCAAACAAATGAGCTAGCTTCCTCAGAGAATTACACTGTAACTAGGTAACCAGATTAAGTCATTTGGCCACGGAAAATCATCAACAGGACCCTTTTTTTTTTTTTTTTTTATTTAATTCCAGTCACTGAATGAAAACCGAATGGAGGGGGGCGCATGGTTTTAGAATATTCATAGAAGAAAAAGGGTGCTAGGGAAAAAAAAAATGAAATGCTACTTTTACTCACCTAAACTCCTGGTAACGCGCTGCTCCAATGCAGCGTTTCCTCTTCTGTTTACAGGAGACAGTCTCCTCCTTTGGGTGTCCACGTCACTGCCTGCATAATGTTGACAATTTCAATTGCTGGAGGGTCAGCCAGGCGCAGGCCCACCTGTAGCGCTGTATTAGCGGTTCCCCACACACATAGGAAAACTGTGCTGATGAGGGACAGTTGGGCTAGGTTATTTACTGTATAAATTGCAAGTACAGAAAAACACCTGCAATAATAAAATAAAATAAAAAAAATAAAAAAAATCAAACAGTATGCCAACTTCCTATTTAGGCCGACAACAGTGCCTGTGCAGCACTGAAATCTCCAAATACTAGGGATGCACCGATACCGGTATTTTGGCACCGAGTACCGATAACTCCGGTACCCAGCCGGAGCCGTCTGGCCGGCCAATCAGGAAGCTGGGCGCCGTGTAATGACGCGACACCCTGCTTTCCAATTGGCCGGGAGGCCGGTGCCATGCTCTCGTCATGAGATGACGAGGGAGCATGAAGCCGGCTTTCAGGCCAATCACAAAGCAGGGTGTCGCGTCATTAGACGGCGCCCAGCTTCCTGATTGGACGGCTTTGGCT